TAACGCCATTAGATTACTCCGTTACTTAAAAAGTAATCTAATTACTGTAACGCGTTATAATTACTAGTACTAGTAACACGTTACTGCCCATCACTGCTCGTGACAGGCTGACCAGGCGTGTCCGATAGTTATTTTTTTTCGGTATTTTTTTTTCTTTTTATTTTTGTAACGTGTGCATTTTATATTTTGTGTGTGCATTTCATGTTTTGTTTTTTTTTTAGTTTTTTTTTTTAAAATAAACTCTTAACGAACACCTTTGTATTTTTTTTATATATATATATAAAATATATTAGTATCGGTACGTGTTCAACACTAAAGCAAACGTTGAAATAATTATTGGCAATCGTAGGATAATAGGGTCAGGGAATCATCGCGTAGGATAGTAAGAGGGTCGGGAAATGATCGGGTAGGATAGTAAGAGGGTCGGGAAATGATCGCGTAGGATAATAAAAGGGTCGCGGAATCATCGCGGAGTTTCGCCTAGACGTCGCGTTTTCATTGCTGTTGAGACGGAAAACGTCGCGATTATATCGCCTGGACGGAGCTGTTACGGAGGCGCTACGTAGTGCCAATGTGCAAACGACAGAAAAGCTACTATATATCGACCTTCAAAAAACGTATCAGCGACGTACTTGTGCTGACTGCATGGGTAGTCTCACAGCTGCTGAAAATCTGAATGTTTTAATGTACCAATATTTTACAAATCATGTTACCATTTACTGGCTGCAAATCCATACAAATCAATGATTAAACCTATAAACTGAATGCACAAAATCCCAAATGAATACTGCATAAAGGCAACAATGTTAAATGCACAGTTTGAACACTCAGAATATACAGTTGCACGGATATTCCGTTGAATCTGAGGATTTAAAGGGAACTCATCCGTATTTTAAAGGACATTTACTCTAAAAACAGATTAGACAGCCATACAACCATAGATAGATGGATGGATGGATGCCTTACTGCTACCATTTGTCCTCTTACCTGGGATCCATTTCTGGTGCAGCACCTTCAAACTCACACTACACAGACAGATAAAGTTCCTCTTTTTGTACTCTGTGCTGAGGCTGGTCAGACAGGTCCAGCAAGTTCTCTGTGAACGGGAAGTAGCCTACAGTATGTGTCACATATGCAGTGCGAAGAAAAACAAGTCCTCTGTTTATCAGTATCATGACATTGGACTATTAGGTGGCGATTCAAGAATTTGACCCTTAGGGGGGCTCAGCCATTCTGAAGAAATACACAACATCACACCCGAGTTAACCGTGTTCCAGTACAGCAAGTCAGAAAGGCATTTACTGTATTTTGCGTGAATGCGTGCTGTTATGACAAGAAATTACAGTGTATTTTAACCTTTCTGTGGCTAATTCAGTGGTGGAGGAAGTACTGAAGCTTAGTACTTAAGTAAAAGTACAAATACCCTGCAAAATATGTACTCAAGTAAAAGTA